TTCGGACGTAGCTGTCATGGCTATAAGGATAAATTTTGTCCTGATGCTTTAATGATCCAGGAGGGCAATTTAAGACTTCTGAGAGGGAGGAACAAGTGGCATGGTGATTAGGGCACTGGACTCCCACATGGCCTACTGTGGTTCAAGTCCCAGACCTGGTGGCTTGCTTTCTCACTTTCTCTCTCTCCCTTCCCTCTCACTCTGATGAGTATGAATTCCCTACAGCAAATTAAAAAATAATAATTACAAATAAAATTAAATAATTCTTTAAAAAAGACTTCTGACATACATATTTTGGGGATAGAAATGAAATTGTTTTCTTTTACTAAAATGCATTTGATTTGGAATATTAATATAGTTCTAACTTTGATCATACAAATCAAAAATTGAAATCACAAAACAGGGCCAGCTGGTGGTGTGGTGGTTAACAGTTGGATACCACATGGCTGGCTGTGCAGTCCTGGTTGAAAAACATGCTAAGTGTGTGTGTGTGTGTGTACCCAAAATCATGAGAGGAGAATGAAGGAGAAGGAATGGCAGTGTGACCATTCCCCATTGGGGTGATTTTGTTTTGTTTTCCTGTAGGGCGGATGCATTCACCAGAGAGAGACAGAAAGAGGGAAAGGGAGAAATCATCCCCCAGGGGGAATAACCACACTGTAAATCCTTTCTCCTCCATTCTTCTTTTGGGATTTTGGGCATGAATGCATATGTGCCCTGTGTATTTTTCAAGCCACTGAGTCCAGGACTCAAATCGTGAAACCAGCCTTGTGAGATCCAGCAGGTTTAACTACCCTGCCACCAACTGGCTCTTTGGGGAATGATTTCTAATTTTCTCTTTCTCTCTCCCTCTCTCTCTCACGCACACACACACACACACACACACACACACACACACACACACAAGTACACATACCCTTCAGCAAATAAAAAGAAAGAAATCACAGAACAGTACATTCAAACAATTTGAGTTCAAAGTTTGAGTGCAAAGCACAGCAGTCTCACATAGTTCATGAGAACTACATGTTAGACAAAGTGAACCTCTGCTTGGGAAAAAGAGAGACCTGTCCTGGAAGTGAACTGCATTGAGAAGGAAATGAACTTTAGATAAAAGCCTCCACACCTTTGTCTTCACAGTGCTCAGAAGAACCTAGAGAGTATCTGATGAAGCCACTTGGTCCCCTCACCTCAGTTGCCAAAATTACTCCCCACTGAGACAGTTGTTTAGTCATATGACTCCGGTCTATAAGGAAAGAATTTCAGGCACTTGACATTTGGTAGGAAGGAGTTTTTTGGGCAAGCCTTCTGGGTGCCTCCGTTTCTGAGGCTGATCTTCAACACCTGCTAAATATGGTCAGAAGTTGGAAAAGTGCTTTGAGATGTTTGACACAATTTACAGGCTACCTGAAATTATTTACAGATTGCTCTAAACTATTACAAAATAGCTCTTTCAACTAGGCTTGTGTAAAAGCTTCAAGGTTATCTCAAACTGCACTGGTGCTTAGGAAACCAGGCCATCAGCAATCAGCTTCCAGTGTTTTTTAATGCCCGACAATCTAATTTGCTTGTTTGTCTATTGATTTGTTTATAGGTAACTCGCCTTTGTTGAACATTTAATTAAAAATATGTCATAAAGCAATTAGGCCTATTTCACTCACTAGCACTATGTCTGGCCTGCCAATCCAATTTTCTAAAAAGAACTAAAAAATTGAGCCAGACAAAAATCTAACTGACCAGGTTCTCAAAGCTGTTTACTGAATGAATAAATGATACTGCAACTTAAGCAGTAAAAAAAAAGTGTTAATTGTATTTTCTCCCCCCCTTTTTCTCTAGTTGAATTCTCTTAAATACACTTAGCAGGAGAAAAAAAAAAGCCATTTTAAGGAAAATGATACTCAGTTAAAGCCTGAAGTTAATGCACCTCATGATAGGCAGGACAGTGAAGAAGAAAGAGCAAAGGTCAGGACGGCCAGTGGTGTGGTGGTTAAGGAGGCTGGATTCCACATGGCCTACTGTATGGTTCAAGTCCTGAACCTGGAGGCTTGAAAGAATATGCCTGGCTGTGCTGAAAATCCCAAGAGGAGAATGGAGGAGAAGGGACTGCGGTGCAGCCATCCCCCCTGCAGGTTGATTATTCACTGTATCTCTCTATCTCCTTCTCTGTCTCTCTCTGACAAGAGCATGTGTCCTATAACAAATATTTTTGAAAGTTATATATAAACACATTGTTTAAGAATGAAGATGCATTCTCAATGTTATTTTGGCTCCCTTAGGTAGTGTGTTTCTGAATGTTATTCTTTATTTCTTCGTGTTTTCTATTTTTAAAATAGTGGCATAAATTGCTTGGTTCAAGAAAAATTAATATTTTTAAAAGTTTCAAACAAATCATAATGACTAAAAAATTGTCATTACCTTAGCATGCAGCATTAAGTTTGTTTCTCTTGAGCATTTAACAGACTTAGTCCTGATAATCCCTGGAACATCCCTGAGAGGATGGTGTTTTGTTTTTGTAGATCAACATTTTCAACGTGGGAGTTTGCAAAGAAATTAAGCCCCCAAACCATAAGGCATCTATCCTATGTAATGGATTAGCTTTTCTTATAAATTTAGAATGGTACTAGTCATTTCTCCTTGGAGGAATTGAGGAAATAGTCACTCGAATAATTTCTTGTGTTTAGTACTTCAGTTTAGCAACCCTGTTGAAAAAAACTACACAGCAGGCAAACAAACTCACTCACTTGTGCATTTGATTACTACTGTCTTCAATTTCACTTTGAGTTGTAGGTTGGTAAAATTTTTTTAATGACTTTTAATTACTGCTGTAAGCTCCAGGAATGCACCTAGAATGTGTGGGTTTTTTTTTTCATTGCCAGAATGTATGTGCAAGAGAGAGAAAGAGAAAGAGCAAGCACCGTTCCACACCCACCAATGGGGCATGGTCACACTGCAATTCTGTTTCCTCCATTTCTCCATTCTGTCAGGATTTTGAGTAGCATGGATATGTGTCCACCTTTTTTAAAGAAAAAATGATTTATTAATTTTATTTATTATCATTTTTTTATTTGATCAGAGAGAGAGAAAGGAAACATGAGAAAGCAAGCCACCAAGTCCAGGACTTGAACCTTGGTTGGCCATGTGGGAGTCCACGGCCTTAACCACTATGCCACCTGCTTGCCCATGTGTCCAGCTCTTAAGCCACCAGGGCAAGGATTCAAAATGTAGTCAACCATGTGAGATCTGATTCCCTATGCACTGCACTTAACTTTATGCTACAGGGCCAGCCCTCACAAAATGTTTAGAAAATTATTTTTCCCTGAGTACTGGAAATTGTTGAGCTTTCCAGTTATTTAAATAAGGAATCCTTTTATCAGCACAATTTATTGATAGCAATTAGTCAGGCTTCTAATGTACATTATATACTCTACAAGAGCAGAAAAACTTTTAAAATAAAAAGTGATTGAATAAGGTCAGAGGTCCAATACAGAGTGATTTATCAAAACAACTGGCTCCTACAATAGCTGTTTGGGAATCATGGTTTTTTGTTTGTTTGTTTGTTTGTTTTTTCCCAGTCCCATCAAGATCTTCATTTGCCCTCCAAGTCTGAATTACAGGTAACAATAATAACAACTTCATGTGCATTTATTTCTCACAGCAACCCTACCATTTCAAGAAAAAGAAGCTGAGGGCCAGCAGGTGTTATAGCGGTTAAGGATCTGACATGATGGTTTTGAGTCCTGGACCCAGTGGCCCAAAAAACACACTGGGTGTGTGTGCATGCCTGCCCAAAATCCCAAGAGGAGACTAGAAGAGAAGGGATATTGGTATGGCCATCCTCCTGGAGAGTGATTTCTCCCCTTCCCCCTCCTGTTTCTCTCCAACGAGTACACATATGGCAAAAGCTATATAAAATCAACAACAACAACAAGTAACTATTTTATTATATCATAGAATTCTGTGAGAATGGATCAGTGGGGCAGTTCCGGCTGGTCTCACCTGAGGTACCTCATGTGGCTTCAGTGAGAGAGTAAGATAACAAGTGGGCTGAAGTCATCTGGAAGCTTGACTGGCATACTGGGAAGATTCTTTCCTTTTCTCCTTGTATCTCAAGACCTCTCCACTCTAGGTGGTCTTTTCAGAAAGGTGTTTAAGAGCTTTTACATGGTGGCTAAGAGGTCCTCAAAGAGACTGTTTCCTTCCAGCCTTCTGGAAGTAGCAGTTTCTGCCAGGCCATTTCAGCTTTGTCTGCTTCCACATGTTAGAGATTTTTGTTATGTCAGTGCTTTACTTTTTATTTTAAAGAATTATTTTATTGGGACCAGCAGATGGTGTAGTGGTTACATTGCTGGATTCTCATGTAGTTTACCGCAGCTTGAGTCCCAGACCTGATGGCTTAAACCTCACATTGAGCGTGTGTGCATGCATGCCCAAAATCCCAAGGGGAGAATGAAGGAGAATGGATTGCAGCTTGCCCATACCTCCTGGGGGGTGATTTCTCACTTTCTATCTGTCTCTCCAGTGAGCTTACATGCCCTATAGCAAAAAACATCTTTCTCTCAAAAAAAAAATTTTATTTAACTACTTATTTATTTATTTTAATTTGACCAGAGAGGAGCAGAGTGAGAGAGGGAGAAAAAGAGAGAAAGCGAGAAAGCAAGCTGCCAGGTCCAGGACTTGAACCAAGGTTGGCCATGTGGGAGTCCAGCACCCTTAGCCACCACACCACCTGCCAGCCCCTTGTCAGTGCTCTACTTTTGCATTCCAATTTCTATTTTGATTATTTATCATTGTATACAAACCAACTTAAAACTTAGTAACTTAAGGGGATGGCAGGTGGTGTGGTGGTTAAAGGTGCTGGACTCCCACATGGCCAGCCACAGTTTGAATCCTAGACCTGGTTGACTTGCTTTCTCACTTTCCCTTTATTTTTCTGTCTCTCTCTGGTATAGTTAAAGCAATAGTAATAATAATAATAATAAATAAAATTAAATAAATAATTCTTTTTTAAAAATTAGTAACTTAAACCAATCGCCAGTCAATTGTCTGTCATGGTTCTGTGGATTTATTGAGCTCAGCTGTGAAGTTCTGCTGATTTCAGTTGGGGGCTCTCATGTGGATGGAGTCACATGATGGTGGGACAGAAGTCATCTGGAGACTTGACTAGGACACTGGGACAGCTGGATTGCTCTGTCTTTTCTTATAGTCTTGGGGCCTCTCCCTTCCTCCATCCAATCGCTTTGTGTGGTCTCTGAGAAATGGTAACTAGACATTTTACATATTGGCTCAGTGGTCGCAACAGTAAGTATTCCAGAAGCAGGAAGCAGAATCTGTCAGTCCTCTTAAAGGCTAGGTGTGGAACTGAAACAGGCTCTCTTTTACAGCATTCCGTTGGTCAGTACCTGTCACAGGCTGGCCATAGTCAATGTGGGCAAGGATTACACAAAAGCATAAATACCAGGTGGTTTGTTTCTTCCAGGCCTAACATCAAAATCCAGCTACCTGGGCCAGCAGGTGGTGTGGCAGTTAATGCACTAGATCCCATATGACTGACTGCATAATTTGAGTCCTGGACCCAGCAACTTGAAAATCATGTTGGGCATGCATTTATGCATACCCAAAATCCCAAGAGGAGACTGGAGGAGAAGGGACTGTGGTGGGCCATCACTCTGGGAAAGATGATTTCTCACTTTCCCTTTCTCTCTCTCTCTCTTTCTCTCTGTCTCTCTTTGGTGAGAGCACACGCCCTATAGCCAAATAATAATAATAAAAATAATAATCCAGCTAACATAGGCAAACTCCATTTACTTCATGATTTTAAAATCCTATCTACCTTATGGTAGAGGAGGCTTATCTTGTCTTGTATGTAGTTTTTATGCCTGTGTTGCAATCCAATGAAGAAAACCTAATTTAGACTACTAGACGCACTCAACCAACAGCTAAATCTCGTAAAGAACAGAGATGATCATAATTCACAGTTGGTAAGTTAACAGGGTCTCTTGTTCTAGACCAAAAAAACAGAGTTCTAAAATAAACTTCTGAAAATTCATTCTTACCGGGAACCAGCAGTTAGCGCAATGGCTATGTCGCTGGACTCCCATGTAGTCGACCGCCGTTCGTGTCCCGGACCCGGTGGCTTAAAACTCACGCCGGGCGCGTGTGCGTGCGTGTCCAAGATCCCGAGAGGAGAATGGAGGAGAAGGGATTGCGGCGTGACCATCCCCCCTGGGGGGTGATTTCTCACTTTCTGTCTCTATGTCTCTCTCTGTCTGTCTGGCGAGCTCACGCGCCCTACAGTGAAAATCTCTCCAAAAAAAAAAAAAATTCATTCTTACCCATTTTTCAGAAGTCTGTGTGAGAGCCCACATGCATTTCAAAATGCAATTTAAAGTTGTTTGAGGATCAAAAAGGAATTGACAGTTGACCGGTCACGAATGGAAAGAGAAATATTTGAAAAAAAACTTTTGGAAGTCTGTCCAAATGTGAAAGCTGTCTGATAAAAGATAAAAAGCCTAAGGCCCAGTTTGAATCAGGCTGGTTAAAATGAAAACACGATTTCATCATATCATCATTTCACATGGTACAATAATCAAAGTTGGTCAGAAGAGGTCAGGACTGGCAGCTGACCTCTGACAGATGCCACAGGTCAAGTTAGGCAAGATGTGAGGTGTTGAGAAGTTAGCTACCTAAGGCAGGGGTGGAGTCTATGCTTCTTCTATGTTGGCTTTTTTTCTTTTTTCCTGTTCCCTACAGGCACCAACCTCTGACCTGACTTGGAACCTTTCCCCAACCTTTCCTCCCTATCTGGAATGCTCTCCCTTTGTCCCATCAAGTGATGCAGCTTAATGCCACCATATTCGACAAACTTACAGAAAACCACAATAACATACCATTTTACACTCAGCAGTTCTGCCAAATATTAAAGTGACAGTAAAGATGTGCACTGATTGAAACTCTCACACACTCTGGTGGGAATATCAACTGATATAACAACTTTGGGAAAGGATGTTAGATGGTCTTTTAAAAGTTGAACATTTGCAGGTCAGTAGGTGGTGCAGAGGTGAAGGTGGCTGGATCCCACATAGCCAACTGTATGGTTTGAATCCCAGACCCAGGTGCTTGAAAAACTCACTGGGCATGTGTGCATACATGCCCAAAATCTCAAAAGGAGACTGGAGAAGGGATGGCAGTGTGGCCATCCCTCCTGGGGAATAATTTTTCACTTTCCCTCTTTCTGTATCTATAGAAAAATAAGAGAGAGAGAGAGAGAGAGAGAGAGAGAGAGAGAGAGAGAGAGAAAGTTGTGCATTGCATTCCCTATAATATAGCCATTCTTTTCCAGAGATATTCCCTTCAGCAACTCTTACATACCTGTACCATGAACATGGACATGGAGGTTCAGAGTAATATTGCAAGTAATGGTGGAAAGCTGGGAACAAGCCAAATATCAACAGGAGAACAAATGAGTACCTTGTAGTACATTCATATAACAGGATCCTATAAGCAATGAAAAGAAAAAGACCTGTGAGTACACACAGCAACGTGGGTGACTCTCACAAGCAACTTTGAGTGAACAAGGCAAGTCACAGGAGAAATGTAAAATGTCTTTCCATTTTTACATATTTCAGAATTAAGCAAAACTAAAGACACATACTCTGGTACAAAGCATGAATGAAAATCAAGGGAATGGGCAAGTCTGGTGGATACCACATGACCAAATGTGTAGTTCAAGTCCTGGATCTGGGGGCTTTAAAAACATGCTGGGCATGTGTTTCTGAACGCCCAAAATTCCAAAAGGAGGGAGAGGGGGAGGAAAAGGGATTGTGGCATGATCATCCCCTTTGGGGGGATGCTTTTTCCTTCTCTCTCTCTCTCTCTCTCTCACATACACATCTATCTATCCTATTACAAGGATTTTTTTTTAAAAAAAAGACCTTAAACCAAAAGGACCGAGTTTGGAGAGCTGGACAGCTGAGTACATGGAGGTTTGCAGGAAGGTGAATACTAATTCAACCACATACAGGGAGAATGGCACACGCAAACACTGTAGGGGTCAGAGAGAAGTACACAGAGGCATTCCATAGTATTACTGGTGGTCATTTCTTAATTTATTTGGTATATTCATGAGTATTCCTTTTATTATTTAGCTTCGAAAATTATATTCACATCACCTTTACATGTAATTGCATCTCTGTACCTTGTATTTATTTGTACATAATTTCCCAATGAAGCTTTAAATTTTATATTGTCAGTCTATATTCCCAGCTCATGTTCAAAACCCTCAGGCTCTGCCACTTACTGGCTGTGGGAACTTGGGCATGCTACTCAGCTATTCTGAGCCCCAGTAGGCTCATCTGTCAAATGAGGAGTGTAATGCAATGAGAATGCCTACCCAGCTGGCCACCGCGAGCATGATGATGAAATTCCATGCCTGGCACCCAGTAGCCCTAAGTGGTAGCTCCTGTGCCTGTCGCTGTGTTCAGCTGAGCAAGGCCTCCAGCCTGAACTGCTGTAAAGATTTCGTCTGTCTCTCTTGATTTGGGACTCATTTTCTCCCCAGGTCCTTCCTCATTTCTTCTCCACCCCACAGGGAGAAATATCATTAGAGCACTTTTCAATTGTAACCTTGGGTCATTATGGTCTTGGCATTTGTGCTCCTTGCCCACACGATGGCAGAACAGGCAAATAATTGTGAAATGGATAAACGAATCTCAAGATCTCCTTCTGAGGATGTTCAAGACCTTCTAGAAAGCAATCTATTACAATTCCATTAATGTCAGTCATTGGATAAATGATAACTGAACCCACGTTTGAGCTCTGCCTTGCTTCTCATCCTGTATGTGGTAATGACTAGAGCACACTGACAGGCATACAAAATTGTAAAATATGCAAAACGTCATTTCCAGGGTTACAGATGCTTCCTATATGTTCGCACCTGAAGGCTCACATATAGATGTGTATGTGTTTGGTTTTTGTTTTTTGTTTTTTAATGATTACTTTTTTTAAGTTCAATTTTATTTATGTATTCATTTATTCTTTTTTTTTTTTTTGGAGAGGTTTTCACTATAGGGTGCGTGTGCTCACCAGACAGACAGAGAGAGACATAGAGATAGAAAGCGAGAAATCACCCCCCAGGGGGGATGGTCACGCCGCAATCCCTTC